TTGGTGATAATCCTGTAAGCATTTAAGAAGCCCATGTGCTGATGATGGGCAGTTGCATCCACCAGTTGATCAATTCTGGGCAAAGGAAAACAATCCTTGGGACAGGCCTTGTTTAGATCCATAAAGTCTATCCAGACACGCCACGACCCTATCTTCTTCTTTACCACGACGGTATTGGATAACCACATGGGGTATGTACCTTCACAAATTGCCCTAGCATCCAATAGCTTGTCACCTTCATCAATTACGGTCGCGGCATGCTCGGCAGCTGAATGACGACTTCATTGAACGACAGGCTTAAATTTGGAGTCAACATTCAGGCTATGCATAGCTATGTCGGGGTCTACCCCTGGCATGTCGTAGGGTGACCAAGCGAAAACATTGATGCTGTCGAGGATGAACGAAACCAACTCTTGTCGCTCGGCAGCATTAAGACTTGTACCGACTAAAAAGAATTTTTCAAGATCATCATTGATTTGTACTCTGTCCAAATCCTCTGTTACTTCAATTGAATTCACTTCCAATTTCATTGGTCTCTTCTCGACGACAGTGAGATAACAATCCTTTGCCGATTTCTGGGACCTATGGATTTACTTAACGCCTAATTGAGTCAAATATCGAATAAGCTGGTTGTAAGTACTCAGTATGGCCTGCATTATGTTGAGCTATGTTCAACCCATGATTATATTATAAGGTAATGGAAGCTTGACGACTAGGAATTCAACCATTAGTGTCTTGGTGCTTGTCTGCACTGGCAACGCGATCTTGTCCAGAGATATTCCGAATTGGCATTGAAACCAAAATAGGGGTAATCGGCCAGCATGAGATCTGCATACTTAAAGCTGAGTTTGAGAAACGTTTTATAGTACATTATCTCAGAGGTGCTCCCCTAGTCAACCAGGATGCGTCCAACGGCGAACTTATTTACTCGCAACTCGATCACGAGGGCATCGTCATGAGGCACAATGACCCCTTCAAGATTGATGTCGAAAAAGCTAATTTCATTCGACAATCAATGCCGTTTGGATGATATACAGGGCTTAGAACTGAGTTAGGAAGATCGTTGCAACTGCATCGTATTCACCCTATTTGGCGGGGGTAAGCTATATATCACGTAGATTGCCCTGAGTGGAGGTGAATCGGGACGTACAACAAGTACACCTGGTGGGTCAGCCTTTTTTGGGAGGTATTCAGTTAGTCAACCACTTCAAACCACGGCTTTCAAATGATCCTTCAAGGCGTAACATTTGTCAGTTATGTATCCATGGTCTTTATGATAGTCGCATTTCAAGTCTCTTAGTCTCATGCCAAGGGGCCCGGCCATCTTGATCAGTCATTTGAAGGAAGTCAGAGATTGGATTTTTGGCAGAATCTTACTGATCGGCTCAAACAATTCTATGTATTTCTTATGTGACCACCTAGAGTGCCTGTTTTCTACCTGGTATTGTTCGTTTTGTTAGCACAAGTCTCGACGAGTCTCATTTCTTGATCGACCTCTTGGCTCTAGGCTCCTCCTCAGTGGGGTTATGTCTGGTGGTGCAATAGTTAGTGGTTGTACCAAGATGGATATTATTGTTTCTGCTGCTTGCAGTCCAGCTTTAACTCATATTGCATCGTCTTCCACTTTGCAATACTCTTCTACCTTCTTCAACAGAGCCCAGACTGTCTTGGGAGGTTTTCGAGTCAGCGAACCTCTGAGCGAGCTATCGAGATGTAGTCCCATCTTAAAGGCTGTGATTGCCATGGAGTCGTTGTAATCGTCATCTACCAAATTAAAGCACTTCCAATAGCACGCCGAATACTCGCGCAAGGTTTCATTAGTCTTGATTTTCATTGCCCATAGTGAGTCTGCTTGTTTCGGCTGGGTCTCATTGGTGACGAACCTAGCCCTGAAGGATTTTTGGAGTTGATAGAAACTCTTAATCGCAGCCGGTTAAAGCTTGTAATACCATCTAATGGTAAACAGTCCCAAATTGCTAAGGAATATTTGGCACATGAGTACCTCGTCGCCTACATGTAGTGTCATTGCTTGCTTGTAATAATGAACATGATCCATGGGGTCCGACTGTCTATCGTAAAGAGTGAACGACAGTGCTTTATGTTGGGTATACCTCCTTATTGGAGTGTGGGACCCAATTGGTTTGTTAAAGAATTTTAATTTGGGTTGGTTTAGGTATAATATATTTTTATATATTATATTTGAGGAGACCCAATCCAATTTGGAAACAATTAGGGTTTGATTACAAAACCCTAGATTCACAATACATATTGAGGGTATTGTTTTTCCCAAGAAAAACGTGAGCGGCAGCAGCAAAGCTTTAGGTGAGAGTGCTTGGTGTATAACTTAATTTGGTGGGTTTCAATTGGTTTTTGTTTTGTTGCTTTGTATTTGACTTGGTCAATTCAAGAATTGGTGCTTTGGTTTGCTACTCTGTTTTGAAGCGGCTGGGGTTGATTTGGGTTAATTATTTTTAGGTCTTCTACAACTCTGGTTCTGAAGATTTTGGTTCATCTATTTGGTGAGGTCTTTCCTCTTGTTTATTTGTGATTATTTGGAATTCACCTAAGGGTGGTTTTGTGAGACCATTAGTGTCTCGTTTGTAATCGTTTGGAACTTATTTGGTTGATAGTGGAATCGGATTTCGATCCCGTGGACGTACCTCACATTGAGGGGACCACGTAAAAATTCTTGTGTTGCTTTTGATTTAATTTTTCCGCATTAAGTTTTTATTCCCATTGATTGATTTACTTGTGGGGAATCACATCGATTTTCCCTCACACTTTAAACTTCTTAGGTAAGACGGCCTTGGCAATACATCGTATGAAAGAATTGTGCTTGTCCTCTAAGAGTTTAAATCATTGTCTCTCTTTTTTCGCCCGTGATGATGTTGCGAAGGACTTCCCCCATCTGACGAGCTAGACACGTCTACTCGGCCTTGCTTCTTGGGTTTTTGCCCAGAAGGAATCTGACGTACTATTACCGTGCCTCCGAGGCTAGCGTTGTCATCTTTTCTACACTCTTGGCGATCAACCACGCTCGCGGAGAGGTGGTAATTAATGAGTTTGACTAGTCCCACAGACGGCGCCAATTGTATGGAGGTGGATATGAAATAGTCCTTCAATCCAAACAAGCCCTTGGATAATCCTCTCAGCTGTCACTTGAAATATAAATAAAATTCCAAACAATAGTGCCTTAGTCTTTGTAGAAAGATTGGTGTTTTTGGTTTTTTGAAGTTCAAGGTTCTTAGCACATACCTCTGTCTTGGGCTTCCCTTCTTTTATATCATTATTCGTCTTGATATTTTCTTTATGTAACCTAACCCTTCATCATTACTCTGTCAAGGTCCATCTCCCTATCATATTTTTATTAAAAGATAGGACAATCCAGATTCATCTAACCTAGTGAAGCTGACTTTCTCGATACACTCGGCTCAACCTTATGGCTTATGTACCTTTTACTCAGCATATTCTCCATATTGCTGTGTATATTTAGCAATGGCCCAACGTCTAATGGGCTTGGGTTTTATTCAGCCCATCTCAGATGGGCTTGGATGTATTCTGTTTGCCGTTCTTGGTAATCATCTTCTCGATCCCACAAGATCGATCTAATTTCTTGTGTGGATGAAATACATAAAGTGCTTGACAATATGAACAGTTCAAATTATCAAAACGAGACTCGTGATGGACCCCACAAACCTAAACTGCCTCCAATCCAAATTTTAAACTAGAAAGAATCCTTCTCCATTATTTTTATATTTCAAAATTCTCAACATAACATACAAGCTGCGTTTGGTTTAGTTTTGAAATTGTGATTCTCTTTTTGGAGTTGTGATTTAAGTATGAAATTGTGAGTTGAATTTTGAAAAGAGAAAATTTGTTTGGTTATGAGCTTTGAAGAAAGTTTTGAAAAGTGTTTTGAAAGGTATTTTTGAATTTTGAATTTTGAAAAGAGCAGATTGGGTCTACCAGGTTGTCCGCTCGTCTGCCTGGACATCATCCCGGATGTCAGGCCGATTGACCGAAACAGTAATTTTTTTTTTTTGGCAATTGCAACTTGTTATTTGAAAAAAAAATATTTATTTTAGATATTTTTTAAATATAGAAATTATTTTTTTTAGATTTTTTATAACAATTATTTAACAATTCCATCACTAACCATTTTCAATACTATATCATCAAAAGAGTTTTGAATTGAGTTTTGTATTATGTGTTTGGTTATGAATTTTGAAATTAATTTTTGAATTGAGTTTCATATAATTTTGAATTGTATTTAGCTATGAATTTTAAAAAGTTTTTTTGAAAAGTATGCTTTTAAAATTATGATTCTAAAGATAAATCAAACAGAGCCATAATTTTTTTAAAGTTACATCGGAAATAAAACAGAGGGTGAAGCCCTCTCCCGAGGGGCTTTTCCCTAATTGAGCTAAAATACCAAGCTATTTTTCAAACTAGGCCTAGTTTTGACAAATTTCACAAAATAAGCTGAAACGTGATTAGCAACCACGCTTTCACCGTTTTTGTAACCCAACCGTAGAGAATTTATAAAATCGTAAAAGCGTGGTTACAAACCACATTTTTAATTAAGAAAACGTGGTTACAAACCACTCTTTTAAGGAAATTTAATTTATACATAAACCGTGGTTCCTAACCACGCTTTTAAGTAAAAAAAAAATTTCCAAAAAATGTGGTTGTAAATCATGCTTTTACTATTGACCAAAGAAAGCATGGATGATAACCATGATTTTAACCAAAATGTAAAAACGTGTTTCCAAAACACGTTTTCAATGAAAAGTCAAACCCAAGCACTCACACTCTTCTTTCTCACACACACTCTCATACACACACACACTCTCTCTCTCTCTCTCACACACCCACAACACTCACACATTCACATCAAACATATATAATTTTTAATATATATAAATTTTATTTTATAAACTGAGACCAATATTAAATATATATAATAATAATTTATAATAGCAAATAATAAACAACTATATAATTTTTTATAATTTTTGTGAATATAAATCATTTGAACATGCTAATTAACGTAAAATAAAAATAAAAATATCAATGCAGTGGACACCCATCAACAGCTACACCTTTTGCAGTAGGACAAGTGGCCAAACCACAATGCTCACCGTCTGATCCCCACCACGACACACTCACACCCTCCATACTAAGTGAGAAGTAGAGGATCACACCCATGAATGCCAGCCCAGCATCCAATGCTGCTGAAAGTACATAGTTGTACCTCTGCCACCAATCCTTCCTATAGCGGAAAACATAGAAATTGAAAATTGTCCCAACGAAAAGCCAACTATTGAAATTCAACGTTGTTGCGGGTGGCATGGCGGCGGTGGCTCCAAGGAGCACCGGAAGGTTAATCATGGGAATCCAATTTTGTTTTGGGAATGTTTTGTGCAGCAACCATACTAAAACTGGTCCTAGAGCACCTCCTAGGAAGAACCAATTGAGGGCTGTGTAGTTTCCGAGTTTGCCGAAGATTCGCTTGGGGCCCACTAAACCCCAGATTACCGATGCATCGAAGAAGACACGGTCGCCAGGGCATGTCCAGGGACTGTTTGGAGGGAGGAGAGTGTCTTGGCAGATGTTCTTGATGGTTGTTAGGAGCCACCATGCTGTGGCCATGTTGACTGTTCCAGCTATGATAGTTCCAGCACACTTCAACAACATTTAGAAGACAATTAGATGATATGCATATGAATTGGAGATTATGTAAATTTGTGTAACGATTCTCAATTGGGCTATATGCAATGTTTGGTGATTGAAATCCTTGTTTTAAAGCTATATACCACATTGTAATGTTGTTCAGGAGTAGAGACTCCTTTGGTCATTTCTACAGAAGGTTGCCACACACTGATTGTCTCATTCTATCTTTTTTATTTTTTGGAATAAATAATACTTACCACCATAGAGTTTCGAAAAAGTATAATAAGTTTCACAAGGTTCACATAATTATATTGACCTCTCTTTTAGTAAGGCTAAAGCAATCAAAATTAATGTACTTAGATAATCAGAGGTAAAACATATAATTGTGTGAAAAAAAAAAAAAAAAACTATTTTTTCTAAGGAATGGCTCACAAAAAGCGGGGAAGAGTTATATGAATTAAAATTTTAAGAGAATACAATGTAATTATGTCAAACTTTAGTGTATTTTTTTCCGAGCTTTAAGAGTGATTGGTGTAACTCACCCCTTTTTTTATATATAAAATTTTGATGTTCCCTCTGTTTTTGTGATCAATATATAGAAACTAGAGGTCAAAGTTGGCTTCAGATGATTAAATTTGTTGCCCCTTCAGCTGTTCTAGTTAACAACTCATTTACTTTTGGATCTTGACAAACAAGCAAACCCTATATATATTAGAATGTAAAATTTTAAGCGCACAAAATTCAATCATAGAATCGGAGACAATTCTCTCACATGGGGTGAGACTCACATTGAGAGAGATGTGTCTGGTTTTGTGATCGGATTTTGTGTGCATAAAAAGAACTGCATTACAATCCTCATGCACTTGATTTTCTTAGGGAATTAAGGGTGTGTTTCACAACTACTCTATCAATATATCTACATAGTGAAAAAGAGGTAATACAAATACCTGGACTATGAACATTGATCTAGGTGGGACCTTCATGTAATGGCCTAGCTTGAAATCATTGAGAAAGGAGACTGCCTGGCTCATGCTTATATAACCATAGGTTTTGAAGCAAACATTGGCGATGGGTCTTCCTGGTAATATCACACCCATGATATACTCTGTGATCACATTTAATCCTGGTGTCTGACATAAAAATATAAGAAAAAATTAATAATCTCATTCTAATAAAAACATGAACTATTATGGATCGTTCAGTTTCCGGTTTTGGCTTACGAAAAACATTCAACAGGAAACATAACTGTTATCATCAGTACAATTTTCAGCTCTCTTCTTTATTTTTATTTTTTATTTTTCCCCCATGCCTCAATGTTAGCAAATTCTTTTTGCCACAATGCTAGGAACACAAAAATGTGCATGTAAAAGTGAACAAAAAATGAAATGTGTGGCCACACGAAAAATTTAAATCTGGACCATACATTTGTGTTCTGTTTACATTTTTGTGTTCATAACTTTACTGTTATCTTCAAGGCTAAATTTAAGCAGATGAAAATGGCATATGGTACAGTTCAACTTTGTTACCTGGTTTGTTGTGGCGGTTATGATGCTGATCGGGAGGGTGAAAATCAAAGCGAGGGCTGAAGCAAAGAGGAGTCCCCACCATGGCATTTGAACCTGATCTTTCATGAAGATGCAAAGTATGAGAGAAAGTGCCAGTGACAAAACAAGCATCACGTGAAACCACCAGTTTGGAATGTCCTTGTATTTTCTCATTAGTTTTGTGTGAATGTCCATCTTTCCTTTGTATGAAGTTTGGAATTGATCATATATTTCCCTGCAAGGAGCAGTTAATTAACCTCCCTATTATAAACACAAATGAGCTCTGCTGCTACAAAATACTTTGAAACCTTCATAAAAACGGATGCTTCGGTTGTCACTAAAAACAGATAGGAAATTTATCTGAGTATCTTGCTCATCAAGTGTATATAGAGAGTAAGACACTTGCAAAGTAGAAAATTTTCTTTTAATTTGACACACTACATTACATTTTCAATGTCGTGACAAAATTGAATCGTCCTGTAGTGTTTTCATTGCATTTAAGATAATTTGGGCTGAATTTGGATTTGTGGAGGGAAAGAATATTAAAGGGAGAAACTAACCAGCTTGGTTGTGTATTCATTTTTTTGTTTTTTTATTTTCAGTTTTTGGAAAACACAAAAAACTTGTTCAGTGAACTGTTGGAAAAAAACTAACTGAGAATAGTTTTCTTAAGACAACCCACTTTTTAAAAAAACCAAAATAATGTGTTCAAATTTTCACAAACTATTTTTGCACAAAAACAAAAAAGATATAAACATCTAAACATTTTTATTCTCTTTTCCCTTTCTTTTTCTTTTTCCTTTGCAAATCCAAAATTCACCTTAGTAGTGGTTTTATCAGATTTGTAGAAAAACTTGCAGTCTAAACTCTGATGTTTACAACTAGTGAAACAATTACTGTCAATGAGCCATATGTAGTATATAAAGTTTGTGTATTAAGTAAGAAATTTAACAGTTCAACATTAGTTACCTTCCATTAAACATGATGACATGCGAGAGAGTGGCTACAACAGCTGCGAAACCAAGGCCATATGTCAAACTAAAAAAGACACTGAGGTTTATACGACCCTGCTTCAAATAAGCCGGCATGTCTATCTCAAACTTGTCATTGACAATGGCGGTTACATTATACAGTTGACCCTGGCCATTAAACAAATGGGAAGAGAAAATAGGGAAATTTCTGGCATGATAAAGGTTCACTCCCCAGTAGAGTATTGGGATTAAGACATAGATTACTGTTACATAGCCCACAAAGACATTGACAATGGCAAAGAATGGGGTGATGAGTGGGCTGCCAAGGAATGAGGCTATGACTGACCAATCCAGGGTTAGGGAACCAATGCCAAGGCCTTTCATGCCTGAACCGAGTTGATGAGCCGTTACAGAGCTTGGGAAAGCCCAGCAGACCAAAGAAAGGTTTGACAAGGTTGGGAATAGGTAGCCCGGAAAGAGGTACCATGAAAAGCTGCAAACTAGTGCTATCAAAAAGAATTTTCCCCGCGACATCCGGTTTGTGTCCTTCTCATGGAGGGCCCTGCAAAATGTAAATCCCAACCATAGGTAATTAGTTCAATAGTTATTTATAATTCCCCGTTTTTGAGGTGAAATTAAATTGAACAATGTCCAAGTTCAATTGATCCTACCCTTCAATGAACCCATTCATAAAAACAAAAATAAAAAATTCAAAAAGAAAGAAAGGTTTAAAATCACAAATTCAAATTCTTTTCTTAGAATGCCAACTATTATAATTCTTAAAGGAAAATAGTTAGTTCGAGAGTTATTTAAAATTCTTCTTTTGGTAGAAAGGCTTTAAATCATAACTTCAATATTAACCCTTTTTTCAGAATGCCAACTATTATAAATGTTTATTATTTTTGTAGGATAATTTTTAACATGTTTTAAGTGTCTATTTTTCCTTGATCACTTTGTTGCTTCACCCCCTAACCAAACTTATATTTTATCTGATTTTCATAAAGTATAATATGCACAACCGAATCAAATAGCTGATAATCAAATGAGACTTAAAACAATTTTTTCTTTATTAAAAATAGAAAAAAAGAAACTCATGCGATGTAGAATTAATACAACCAACATGAGTTTTGCGTCTGTTTCTTATGCATAATTAGCAAGAACCAACTATTTAAGGTAGAAATTTCACCAATTTTGGTTGTTTTGGGAAGTAGGTTAAAAGCAAGCTTTTGGGCGCTTTTTTATTTTTTTGAAAAAACGTGTAAAAAAGTGGAAAGTTAATGGGACTCAAAAGAGATTAAAAGCCAAAAAGCTGACTTTTAACCTCTTCTCAAATACATGAATCTACACAATAAAAATAATGATTACATTTTGAACTAATCACATTCAGAAATTGTTTTATTGTGTGATTTCTTGTAGGAAGTGAATAAAAAATTTGATAAAATTCATCCAAGGATATATTAGGTAACATCTACATCAACAACACGTGAATTAAGGTAAAACAAAATTGGTTGAAAGATGATGAGTAAAATTTCATTTTGCTACAAAATTGACATGTAGCATAACAAACTTTTAAACAGTTGGAAGCCTTCCGCACCGTAATCAGCTAAAATTTAAGGAACAGTTATCCCTGGACAATGACAGGGCCATTACCTGCCAAGGACAAGCTACTTTAAATTATGAGCTTAGAGCATATCTAGACTAAAGTGGTTATGCCAAAATTTCAATGTAAAAGTTAAATTTTAACATGTTATTTTGTCAAAATAATATAATTTGGCAATCTTATTTTAATGTACAAATGTTATTCAACAATGCTAGATAGACTAATTTTCTTAGGAAACAATCTTACTAACAAACCTTGGTAGGTCTAGCATCCCTTGGTGTGGTACCACACACAACTTGCAAGTATGTTATTTGAAAAATTTTATAATACACACCCCAAAAAAAGGTGCTAGTTATGGCTTATGACCCATTGTAGTGTTAATTGTGACTTAATTATGAACTATTATGGTTGTTATTTTGGTTATAACCAAAGAGGTGTTTCATTATGTCTCAAGTGTTGTTTGGTTATGATCCATTCAGTTATGATTAAAAATGATTTGATTAAAACACGAAGTGGTATCGATATCACAAAATATCATAATTTGCATATGCTACACTCATTTTTTAGGATGTATATTGTAGAATCTCCCGTGTTATTGTCCTTGACATTTCCTAAAGTTATTTTTTCATAAAATGTCAAATAAAAGTGATATTTGTGTACCTGATTATGAGAGAGATGAAAAGAAATAAATTTTCTAAATTTTGACAATACAATAATTTAGTAAAATTTTTGACAAAATGTTTTATATATATTTTAAAAAGTTTGTTAAATTTTACCAGATAAGGATAATAGCAACCTACGGAAAATGCTCTTGTAAGTAACAGCGCAATCTGACCTTTTCCTTGCCATAAAATTATTAAAATCTTGACCTAATATTCCTGATTAATGAGGAAATTGTGTCTAGATCATAAATTTGGAAAGAGAAAGAGAAAAAGAAAAGATGGGTAAAATCTGAATAAAAATCTCTATTCCAAATTCATGATTCAAACACAATGTAAGTGGGTCATCCTTTCCTTACTATGTAATAAAGTAAGTTAAAATGTTCCATCTACAAAAAATTTTGTTACACAATTAATTTGGAGCACCACATATATGGTGCTCTAAAACTATTGAATAATTACCCCTACCAAGGCCCAAGAAGTATATATATTAATGGACTAACTCGTCAACTAGAACTAGATCCAAATCTCATTATTTGGGGGTAAATTTTATTTTTCATACATTTGTATGGTGTTACTCTCATTTGATAGTATTTTTTTTAAAAAAAAATTTATGGATAAATTGAAATATAATCCTGAAGTTTATTAAAAATATAGATTTCTCTCCTACATTTGAAAAATTACATCTAATCGTTAAGTCAAACTACCATCATTATTGTCTACAAATATTTGGTGTCACTGAGGAGGGTTGGAGAATATTGTGAGGGTGTAGAGAGAGAAATTTGGTGGCTGGTGGATGAAAATAAAGGTAATATGATAATTTTATTCTGGTATCAAAAGGTGTTTGGATAATTTTATTATTTTATGTTAGGTTTGTTGCAAGAAAAAATTCTGACAACGAGATATTTGTAATTCCAGAAGGTGTGGGAGTAATCTCTATTTTTAACAAATTTCAGAGAGCATATTTGCAATTTAACCATTTTTTTTTATTAAGCCGCATAATTAATTAAGCTTCTAATAAAGAAATTACACTCATGTTCTTGATATTGAAGGCCATTTTTGTCGATCATGCATTTTTTTTTCGGATTCAAGTGAAAGTTAAAGGAAATAATTCAGTCTTACAAAACAAAACAAAGAGAGGGCATAGGCTTAATCCCTCCTCGAACTTGCAGATATCATATCTGCCACTAGAAAGGATGAAACATTGCCCGGAGGATCATCAAGAAAGATGAGTTGCTCTTTTTGATTGACTCCAATGTTGGCTAATGCATCAGTACTTTGATTAGCTTCTCTTGGCACATATTGAATGGTGCATCTGCATCTTCTCGGAAGAAAGTTTCCATCTTTTTGGTTCCAAGGAGGATCATGCATTGTCATATTTAATAAAAACACACTAGGTCATAACAGATGCCTTGAAAAAGGGTTCTATATTTTAAGAAAGGGAATTGTTAATATTCTCCACCTTTTATCTAAGGACTCCTACTTTCTTTAATTTATCTATTCTAATATATAAAGTTATTGACACATTTGTGTCTCATATTTTGAGTTTCCCCAAAATATCCCTATTATTGATATTTATATAAAAAAGAACCATAAGGCTTGAAACCAAGATCATTGATTTGGCAAAACAAGTCATTACCATTTGAGCAACACATAATATATGTGTATATTTCTTTATCATTATTCTTATACTATTGATGTTCTTTGGAATTGTGTACACACATTGTGCCCGCTAGTTTTTATTACAAATTTATCCTAATATAAAATACTAATTTTATCCTTATTCCTAACCTTCCAACCCCAAACCCTAACTCTAACCCTACCCCACCCAACCACCCATCACCACCTATGGCCACCATCCCCAACCTCTCTTCGCCACCCTCACCCCCTCCCCCCCACTCTCCTACTCCGTTCCTCTTCCTCCGAAAGCTACTACCATAAAAATAAAAAATAACAGACGTACACACAAAAATAAAATTAAAAAGTTCTTTGTTCAAATTTATACGTGGTAATTGTAAATTAATTATACAGTATACAAGATTATGATGTTTAAGATATGTTTGGGTGTATCTGATTATCATTTTGATGTGGTTCCTGCAATTTAAAAAATAAAAATAAAAATTGGTTCTGAAACTCTGTTCGACTCTGGTTTGCTAAGCAAATTAGTGTTAAGATTGTTCGGCCTCTGGCAGCCGAACATTTTAAGGTTATTCGGACGACTAAGGTCGAATATGATTAATTTCACCAATTTTGCTCTGTTTGGTCAGTTGGAACCAAATAAACTTAGATTGTTCGGTTAATTCCAACCGAACAAACTAAGTTTGTTTAGCCGAACACGGCCAAACAAATGAAATTTGTTTGGCTTGGTTATTCGAACATCGAAAAACTAAAAGTTTGAAAAAGGTTGTTAAGGTGAGGGGGGTTGTTGTTGGACAGCAACAGAGATTCGAAATGGAGCTGAAGGGTGGCATGGAAAGGGGCTAGAGTGGCGGGGCTAGGTGGTAGGGGATGGTGTGTGTTGAAGAAAAGATTGTGGCAAAAATTCGAAATGGAGCTGAAGGGTGGCATGGAAAGGGGCTAGAGTGGCGGGGCTAGGTGGTAGGGGATGGTGTTTGTTGAAGAATAGATTGTGGCAAAAATGAGGGTCCAAAGAAGCGGTATTTTGGGAATTATGGTACAGGTCCAAAGAAAAAGAGGGAGGAAAGTCATTTGGGAGAAAATTTTATTCGCACACCACACAAAATCTTAGTACACATTACAAATGGTATTCGGATATTAATTTCCGAGCAAAAACTAAATCTTCGGATTTAATATTATGAATAAAAATAAATTATTCAAATATACATTATGTTCAATTATTTATATCCGAACAATTACTTTATTTTAATAAATACATATATACTAACACTATTTGTGATGTTTAGTGACAGTCTGTGTACCTGAACATTTTTTAAAAATTTGGAAAAGCTTTACATTTTTAAGTTCTACTTTAACTAGACAGACTGAAAATTTGAAGAAAAAAAAATCTAGAAAGGTCAAAAAAGAAAGCCAAAGATTTTTTTTTTTAAAAACTATTTTTGATAATTTTTTACTTTTTAGATTTGCATACATAAGACCAACTTAAAAAATAATTTTTTTCGACATAATTTAAAAAAAAAATTACCAAAAATAAAAAAAAATGTAACTTAAAAAAAAATAAAAAATGTTGCGTTTGGCAGAGTTTTAGAATTACGATTTGATAATAGAGTTGTATTTTGAATTTTTGAGTTTTGGAATTATAATTTGAGTGTAGAAAATTTGTGTGATTATGAATTTTGAAAAAGTTTGAATTAAGTGATATGACATATAATATTGAAAAGTGGGTATTTTAAAAAGTGGATGTGAAATTAATTTTCTAAAACTAATGCCAAACAACACACTCAAACCAAAGAATTAGAATTAAACTTCAAATGCTCGTTATAACCTAAATAAAGGGTTGTTTGAAATGTTCTAAATAAGTGTATTTTTTGACTTTTTATAAAATATGGGTTGAATTTAAAATGATATGATAGAGAAATAATATGATCTGACTTAAATAGAATAGTAATTTTTTTACTTTTTTAAGAAATGCCAAACCAGGCCTGATTACTCACTAGTCTATTGGAGGTAGGTATAGTGGACCAAGGTAGTAATTACGACGCCCTTTGTAGCTCTTTGTTTGGATTACCTGAAAAGAGAAACTTGAACGAGACTGCTCGGCCACCACATCGCCGCAGGATCCACCACGTACTTCCTCAGAATCCCAGCCCATCCATACCCCAATACCTACACATTCACATTCACATAAAAATCAAGATTTTATCATCAGATTAAAAAATATATATCAAATAGTAATCTCTATGAGAATAAAACAAAAAATTATACAAAACAAAATAATAATATAGGATGACAGAAGAATGAAATATATATGTGAGTATTTTGTATTAAAAGGCTATTTAATTTATAAAATAAGATCGTATATATTTTGAAAATGTTACGATAAACAAAATTTAGTACCTGGGTAGTGATGACGAGAATCCAACTGGCGAAAAAGGAGATTTCCCGGTGATAAAAAGCCTTAATAATATCAACAATACCAACCGCATAAGCCGCTCCGCTACCGAACCCGGAACCGGCATTGGCGAATATAGAAATCAAGACATGCTCCTTCATGTTGAAGGGTCCCGGATTCAACGAATACTCCGCCGACCCCAACCCCGGTACCCGGAACTTGGCGCTGGGCAAGACCTTGGCCATGAAGCGCCCGATTGGGAGAGTGGCCACTTGGACTGAAATCATGGAAATGATCAGAGGTTCGGTTCGGTAGGCGAAGAAGGTGTTGAGGAAGGAGAGGAGGACGCACGAGAGGAGTCCTAGAAACCACATTCTAAAGGTCCATACGGGTAGGCTCGGCTCGTCTGTGTTCGACACTGTTAATCGGACTTGCTCGATTGGGGATTCCTCCTCTTCTTCTTCTTCGGGTTCGTTGTGTTGTTTTGGTGGTGGTGGTGGTGGTGTGTGTTGGTCTGATATCTCGATTTCGAATGAGCCCATGGCGGTGCGCGCACAGAGAGAGAGAGAGAGAGAGGGGTATGGTATGGGCTGGTATGTGTCTGTTAGTAGAGAGAGAGAGAGAGTGATGAGTCCCCGACTTAACGTGGGGGAAGAGACCCGGATATATAAGTGTTGAGATCCCGGATATGTGAGTGTTTTGTTCCGTTTGCGATTCTTCTGAGTTTTTATTCAGTGTATCCGACCAACATTTTTGTCACATTAATGGGGCAATTTGGGAAGTTTTTCCAAAAAAGCCACCAAAAACAGTCAGTTTTTTGGCTAAAAAAGTCACCAAAAAAATCAAAAAAGTCAAAAAATTAATTTTTTACTAACTTCCTAAAACACTCAAGCCACTTCCCTCTAATTATCACAATAGTCTCAAACAAGTAACGCTATATAAATAAAAATTGAGGAGTAATGCTAGAAGTTCCAAATATTTTACTAATGTTGTGTTTGGTTGAAGGATTTAGAGAGAGATTTGGAAAGGGAAAAGGAAAAGGTGTGTAAAACTAGATGAAATATAAACATGTTTTATTCACAATTTACCTACCTTTTCTATTTCCCTTTCCAAATCCTTCTTCAAATCTCCCAACCAAATACAGCATAAATGTTCTATCAAATATCTTATATGAGTGTGCGACTCATATGGGTCTCACATCCATGTGAACAATTGGTGAAACATTTGGAGCCTCTAGCATTTTTTTAAATTGAGTGTTATTATTAGTACTTTATTAATTATTTTGGACTATAATATAATAGTTGTCATTGTTACCGCCGAAATATTAACGTATGAGAGTTCTCAAGGTTTTGAGGTAAGATTTGAAAAAGATGAATGAGTGGTGATAGAGGTGGTTGTTCTCATAAAACTATCTAATGATTTAGTAGGTGTGTATGCTCAATTGTGAGATTAAATGTTTCAAAATGATTGATATCATTTTTAATAATTTCATTTAAGGTTATTATTGTATTCAAAAAATGGGTCAAAAAATGGGGATCCATAATAATAAATGGAGTGCTAATAGCAGCATTTATAAAAAAATTATAAATAATTTTTATACATAATGATTTGGTTCATTGTGAATCTTTTATTTTAAAACAAAATATCATTAAAGATGTATTTGTTTACAATAATAATATTGCCACATCATTTTTACCAAGTTTTTTATATAAATTTTATTTATATTTACAATTTTCCGTCTCAAATTAGTGGAGTGAATATAAAGTTTTTTTTTTCCCTGTTCCAAAAAAAATATAGTTAATATAAAGTTGGTTCATCCATTTTTTTGATTATTTTTTTGGTTGATCACAACTATTTAGGCTATGTTTGATTTGGTTTTAATAATTATTTTTCATTTTTTAAAAAAAAATAATTTAAAAAGTCTTTTGACAAAAAAATAAAAAATATATTTTTATTACATTTATATAGTTTTATCTTTTGCAAGGATAAAAATAATTCAAAGAATTTGTTAAAAAATACTCTTTTAAGTACTTGTATCACAATTAATCCATAATATATTCTTATATTTTAATAAGTCATCAATAATATATTCTTATATTTTAATAAGTCTTATTATTTTGGACATTTGATCAACTAAATCATAATTTTATATTTTAAGTATTTTAAGAACAAGTTTACTCTTACAAATGTTTTTAAACCCTTATCAACTTGATGACGTGAACATTCATATTAAATAAATTTGACAATATGAATTTTAAATCACATAACATTTACACTGTCAATGTAAATATTAATGCACTCTTCATCTTATTATTATTTGGAGTATTTTGATAATTATATCACTCATAGGACTTATTAGAACATTAAAAAATAATTTAGACTAAGTGGAACATAAGTATGTGAAGAAAAATTTATAAATGAATGTCTACTTTTTTTTTAAAATTCAAAAACAAATTAGGTTAATTACTCAAAAGTCCTATTTGTAAGATTGGTGCTCCATTAAATCCTACTTCATTATTTTTAATCAATAAAGTCGCATGTTAAAAAATATTTATGTTTACATGACTGCTTTACCCTTATTAGAGGGTTAAACGAATTGAAAAACTTAATTCAAAAAGTAGTAATAAAAAATTATTAGAGGCTTCAAATGCACTACATGACAATACTATCCATCAATCACCAGCATTATGTTTCATCCACCAACATAAAATTGTGAATTTCACCCTCTCCCCTAATTACAAATCTCCTAGTAACCATCTGACCATGTCCCAAAAGCACCAGATAATTTCTCCTAGTTCAAGTGAACACTATTGATATGGCATTTATTTTTGTTTTGTTATTTCAAAAATAAAAGCTTTCATAACTTTATTATACACATTTATTTTTAATAAAAAAAATAATATTTTTAAAATCTATATAATGAGATCTATCAAATAAGAACAGTATTGAATATAAAATTTTATAAAAATAAAATATTACTTTTTTAGCTATATATATGAAACTAATAATTTTTCAGTTTGCAAAAGTATTCAGTAAAACTAATAAACTCATCAATTTTTTCCAGTATTAATTGATAAATATTATCAGTTTTTAAAAAAAAAAATCAAAATTTCCGATTTTAAACTGATAATATCCTCAATTTCAAAATTGAAAAAAATTGAGAAATTTATCAATTTTGCACAAAAATATTCCATATAATTGTTTCGTCAACTAAGAAAATTTTCAATTTTCCTAGTTCTGTAATTGAGATATTTCTCAATTTGTTTATGTAAATATATTTTACTTGTTTAAAACTTTAATTTATTGTCAGAAATTAAGAAAATTGTAAATTGACTTATTTTCTAATTTTTTAATTTAAGAAATTTCTTCAAACTAAAATATTTTTCAAATATTAGGATTCATACATCTTAGATAAATTTCATAGTTGCAATCTAATTTTTAAATTTTTGAATGAAATTTATAATTTTTTAGTATAACTTCCTCATTTTAAGTATGATTTTTTTTTTAATTTTGTATAAAATTTTCTATTAATTAACTCAACTTATTCTATATGTTTTATAAGAAAAAATTAGAGCAAGTAAATATTGTTAAGTTATGAAACCTTACTATTTAAAATTATTTAAATTGTAAATTTATAATAAAAAAACATATTTTATTTTTATATAATTTTATATTTAATATTAGTCGTATTTGATTGATTTCGTTGTGTTGATTCTAAAAATATAAATATTGTTAAAATTAAATGTATATTGTAAAAAATTATAATGTTTTGATATTTTGAAAAAAAATAAATGGCACATCATCATACTCTTTTATAAACAATTACAAATGATGAACAATCATTATTTGAAGAGTAATTTTATCTATTAAAAATTAATAGAACTTGAATGAGCAAAAAAAACTATCTAAAACTTAATAGAATATAAGTTTATAAAATGAAACTTGTATGTAAATATCAAAAAAATTTAATGTTTATTAGAGTATTTTTTGATGTTTATATTTATTATTATTCTTGTAATTCGTGGATTTTATAACAATAACATATGATATGTGATATAAAAAAACTAAACAAAAAAAAGAGTAATGTTAGAGATCCCAAATAATCTGCCAAATGTTTTACCAAATGGGTGTGAAACCTACACATATGGGCTTGTGTGGGTCCCACACCTATGTGAGATGTTTGGTAAAACATTTGGTGGTAAAACATTTGGTAGATTATTTGAGGTCTCTAGCATTTTTCCAAAAAATATAAAAGAAAGAAGATAGGCCTGTGGTCGGTGGGTTGAGAATCCCAAAAACTGGACCTAAGTAAGTCTAAGCATTATTAGTTACGCTGCAAACAAATCGAGTTGAGTCGAATTTTACTGAATTTGAACTCGGCTTGTTTATTTATTGAGTTCGTTTATTGAGCTCGAGCTCGGCTCGTTAATATTAATGAAACTCGAGTTTAGTTCGGCTTGGCTTGATAATTTTTTTTTAATATTATTTATATTATTTAAATAAAAATATTATTTATATTATTTAATATATAAATAATGTATTTAGATTATTATTTATATATATTTATTATATAATTTAAATATAGACAAAAGAATTGAGCTTGTCGAGCTGTGCGCTCGAGTTTGGCTCGTTTACTAAACGAAATGAGCCGAATCCTTAACGAATGGAGCTGAGTTTGTTCATGAACAGCTCGGTTTATTTGCAATCCTATTATTAACTAATGCGGCTAGATTGATTGGTTCTGTACTTTACAGTGGTTCGAATTTTTTCACGGGTTATATTCTTGATATATTGATTCTTTATTTATTGAGAAATTTTTTTTGCATTAATTATATACTATTTTATTTGATTTTAATCGGTATGATTATAATTTTTTGCGTTTTATTATAATATACTCAAATAAATAGTTAAAAATCCATGTTACAAAGTCAATCCCCTCTAATATTACATTGTGATGTTTCAATCGTTTCATAATATGAGGATTGTCGGAAAAACTTTCACTAATCATCATTGTTAAAGAAGTGTCTGCTATCGAATAGTTGTCGCGGGAAGCTACTGAAAGACTAGTCACCAGAGAGTTTTGAAGGTTTTGAGAGTAAGTTTTAATGATTTTGAAGTGTGTAGGTGATGATGAAAGTAAGTGCTTTCATAAACCCTATGTTATGATTCGGTGGGTGGTTGAGTTTAACTGTGAGAGATGGAGTGTCCCAAAATAATTTATGTCTTTATTAGTAATTTTATTTTAGGTTATTATTGTAATACAAAAATAAAAGAAATGGGGGAGACGAAATATTAATTGGGGGTGATAATAATAGCACTCCAATATAAAATATTAAAAATCAGAATAAATTACAAATACACCCTCTAAGATTTATCAAAAATACATATTATTCCATCGCGTTCGGAAAATTACATCTTACCGTTTGAGATTTTCAATCACATAACAAATGACTCATTACGTTAATCAACCGTTTAGTCAACATTTTATTTTCAAAAATATCTACGTTAATTTTTATCAAATTAAACACTTTATTTTCTTATCTTTTTATTTTTTATTTTTTTTATCTCACCTTTATTCCCATTTTCTCTCAATGCTAACATCACTCCGTCCAACCATCGTACGGCCATC